AGAGTCTCTTCTTGTGGTTGAAAGACTTGCTTCTCCACAGCTCAGTCAACAAATGATGACTGGAATTAAACACTGGCTGAAAATAACACAGCCTGATCTGAAAAGACCAGGGCCTGGGTTTAGGCTTCGTCCATTCTCCTGGGCATCAGGTGTCTTGACCACTTTGGCTCTACCCAAACTCTTTAGCCTGTCTAGTAGTTTCCACTCCCATTGTCCAACATCAGGATTCTGAGAAGTCTTCAATAAATTTCAGGGGAAACATTTTAGCTGATTGGAAAGCCAGAAAGTTTTTAGAAGTTATGTGCTGGAAGCTTAAAGGGCAAAATAAAAATTAAAGGAAATCGAGGTGACAAAGGTAAATAATAGCCATAGTTTAGCAGTTGGAGGCTGTTCTATGAAGTAGACTTGTGATATTCTTTTTTTGAGAATATCACAAAAAAATTTTTTTTGCTCTTATTGCCCAGGCTCGAGTGCAGTGGTGCAATCTCGGCTCACCGAACCTCCGCCTCCCGGGTTCAAGTGATTCTCCTGCTCAGTCTCCCGAGTAGCTGAGATTACAGGCATGCACCAGCATGCCAAGCTAACCATATTTTTAGTAAAGATGGGATTTCTCCATGTTGGTCAGTCTTGTCTCGAACTCCTGACCTCAGGCAATCCGCCCACCTCAGCCTCCCCCAATGCTGGGATTACAGACATGAGCCATCGCGCCCGGCCAAGTTGTGATCTTCTTGAGCAAAGATGTTTGTAGGAGTTTGGCCTGGCTCATGGTATAACCTTGCTAGCTGCTGTGGATTCACCAATGTGGCTTATAGAAGCAGGTAGAGAATTCACAGCAGCACTTTATGTACCTATTGCTACTCCTATTTCCCAGGATCACAAGGCGAACACAGTTTCTTATTTAAAACAGCAGGTTGCACCTAGGAACCAGGTGGCATTATACGCACAAGAGTCTTCTTGGGTATTGGTTATAAATATGAGTTCATGGGCCCCCACCAGCAAGGGTCTATGGGGAGCCTCCAGATTGTGCTTTTGATAGAACTCTCCCTCACACCAGTATTCACAGCCTCACTGCCACTGTCTGCCTGGGGCTCACAATGAACAATCTGTTTTTGCCCTTAGCCCCTGTTTATGAAGCCCAGATCGCCAGATATCCCATGTCCTCAGACCCCAATCCACCGAAGACTCTACCTGTCCCCTTTGTAACCCCATATCTCACACTTTCCTACCTCCTGAAACACTTCTACTCTTCCCCCTGGAACACATGGCTGACAGTTAGTAAATTGCCCCATATCCTCAGCCTCTTTCTAAAAGTTCTTTCCACCTCCATGCTGTAACTGAAACATGCTGTCTCCTGACAACACTGAAACTTCACTCTCCTAGTGGCTCAGACTAAGAAGCTTGGAGTTACTCTTGACTCCTCTCTTTCTCTCACACCCCAATCCATGAGTAAAGCTGTTATTTAACTTCAAACTATAGACTGAACCCAATCCAACCACTTCTCACCATTGCACTGCTACCACCTTGGTCTAAGACCCTCTGTGTCTCACTTGTATCATTACAGTGCCCTCTGTGATAGATAATGAGATTGTTTATTCTCACTTTCTCTTATTGCTCTCCTCACACGTGGCAAGATTGGAGAATTAAAAACAACACTTCCTAGACTTCATTGTAATTTGGGTCTGTTAATTAGTTCCTAATAATAATCACACACAAAACACATTTTGTATTACCATCTAGTACAAGGTGGTAAGTGAAGCGGGGGCTGAAGAGGCCGCTGGCAAGTAAAGGCAGACAGACACGACTATTTTGGTAATCAGGTTCTGGGCTGTTTGTTCCTTCCAGGGTGTCTCCACCAGTTTCATCGGCGTGAGGGTCAGTTATAGGTGTAGCAATAATTGCATGCGCAGAACTAGCTTACTGATAACTGAGTCTGAGCTACAGTGGTGTGACCTTGAAGGGCAATGCCCACAATGAAGCCTGACTACTTCTCTTCCAACCCTTCCAATCTGCAAGCCTCTAATTTTGTTTCTTGAGTCCCTTTCTATTTGAAATGTCCAGAATGGTTTCTGTTTCCTTCATGGGACCCGCATGATACAACCTCCTAATTGGCCTCTCTGCTTCTACTATTGCCCACCTGAGAGACTGTAAACTTAGTTCAAAACATAACTTCTGTGCTTGGATGTTAACATGGCTCAAAGCCAAAGTCCTTACAATGCTTGAAAAAAAGGCCACATCCACTTTGGCACCCCACAGACATTCGGATCTCATCTTCCACCGCTCTCCGCATTGCTCACTCTGCTCCAGCCACACTGACCTCCTTATATTCTCAAAGACGCAGGCACATCTTCGCCTTAGGACTTTTTATTTGTGTTCCTGCTGCCCGGAGCTAACCTTTCCCAGATATTTGGCCAGCTTACATAACCTACTTCAGGTGTTTCCTCAAATGCCCCTTTCTCAGGGAGATGACATTTCATGTCCGTCTGCAATCTTAGCTGCCTCATCCCCTTCACACTCACTGTCCCCTTTCCCTGCATTTGGACCAGCTACCTCCCCTGGTTCCAAATGTATAACATTTTAGATTGTGACAAGTGCTTCTCAGGTGCGGTGGGTCACACCTGTAATCCCAGCACTTTGGGAGGCTGAGGCAGGTGGATCACCTGAGGTCAGAAGTTTGAGACCAGCCTGGCCAACATGGTGAAACACCGTCTCTACTAAAAATACAAAATGACCTGGTAGTCCCAGCTACTCGGGAGGCTGGGGCAGAAGAATGGCTTGAACCCGGGAGGCGGACGTTGCAGTGAGCCAAGATCATGCCTCTGCACTCCATCGTGGGTGACAGAGTGAGACGCTGTCTCAAAAAATAAAAATAACAATAATAAATAAAACTTTATACATTTTTACTCTATTTCACATTGCAACTTGCTCCCTCCACACTCTTGATCCTCCTTGTTTTCCCCAAGCTTTCTATTAGCTTATATCCCATCAAAGAGCACAAAGAGCCTCTTGCTTTCTTTTGTCATCAACACTTGTCTTTTTGCCATAGTACTTACTTACCTTTCCATACTATATAATTTATTATATTAATTTGTATACTGCCTGTTCTTCTCTAGCTCTAGAATTTAGGCTCCACAGGGCAGGGGTCTTTGTAAGTTTGCTTTACTGATGTATCCTAAGCACTTAGAACAATACCTGGCATGTAGTGGGAGCTCAGGAAATCTTTATTGGATAAATGAGTTGCCTTCATTCTACGAATGAAAAAACTAAGCCTCAGAAGAGGCAGCTTCCTCAAGGTACACAGCGAAAAAGAGGTAGATCTAGAGTTATCGAGAGCAATGAGTAGATAAGGAGGGAAGCTACTGTCTTATTTTTTTTTCAACATAAATAAAGTATTTATTGTAGTATAAGTACTGGAGTCAGACCGAGTTGGCTGAATTAAAACCCCTGCTTCACTACTAATTAGCTGTGGTGTGTTGGGCAAACTACTTCACTTTGCTTATTTTATTTTAAACTCAGGGGTGCATGTGCAGGCTGTGCAGGTTTGCTACACTGGTAAACGTATGCCATGGTGCATTCTTGTTTAAATGTTTTATTATAGTGTGCATACAGAAAAGTGCACAAATCATAAATATGCAGCTTGATGGCTCTTCACAAAATGATTGCAGCTGTGCAACCAGTACCCTGATAAAGAAACAGAAGATTTTCAGCCATCTAGGAGCTCCCACACCCTCCCTCTCAGTTATTACTTCCCCAAAGGGTAAGCATTACACTAACTTCCAACCTCAGAGATCAGTGTTGCCTGTTTAGCTTTATCTAAATAGAATCATATGGAATATATTCTTTAGCATCTGACTTCATTCACTCAAAATTACATTTGTGAGACTTATTCATGTTGTTGCATATAGCCGTATTTTACTCATTTTAATTGCCCTGTTATATTCCATTATATGAGAATATGGCAATTTATTTGATCATTCTAAATGACAGGCATTTTGTTCTTTGCAAATTTTGACTATAGGAATAATGCTGCTATGAACATTGCTGTAGGCTATACACATGTACACACATTGTTGTACACATCACTCTTTTATTTCTTTTAAGAGATGGGTGTCTCACTTTGTTCAAGGCTGGTCTTGAACTCCTGGGCTTAACCAATCCTCCCCCATCAGCCTCCTTAGTAGTTGGGACTATAGGCACCCAGCCACATTACTAAGTTCTGTTGGGTATATACCTAGGAGTAGAATTGCTGGGGATGTATTATTTATATATATATATATAATGTTCAACGTTAGTAGATACTGCCAAACAATTTTCCAAAGTGGTTCTATTAGCCTAAATTCCCATCAGAAGTTACAAAATTCCTATTGCTCCATTTTGTCATCAATACTTGGCTATTGCTAATTAAGGTGGCTGCCCCAGTGGGTATATCATTGTGACTTTAATTTGCATTTCCCTGATACTCATTGAAGTTGATCACATTTTAATGTGTCTGTTGTTGATAATTTCTCTAATGTGATCTTCTAGAAGCTTCTTGTTTTGTCACATATAGGATCACCAACCCACCTGGAATCGATTTAGGGGTATGGTTGAAGGAAAAGTCAAACTATATTGCTTTTCATATAGATATCAGCTATGGTTTGAATGTGTCCCCCAGACTTCATGTGTGGAAATGTAATCCCCAAATTTATATGTCGATTGGAAGTGAGGACTTTGGGAGGTAATTAGAATTAGATAAGCCCTCATGATAGAACTGGGGACTTTATAAGAAGAGGACAAGGAAGAGAAGCCTGAGCTGACACACACCCTCTTGCCCTCTCACCATGAGATGCCCTTCATGATGTTATGATGGGGCAAGAAGTCTCTTACCAGGTGTTAGTGCCATGCTCTTGGACTTCCTGAACTCCAGAACCGTGACCTAAATAAATCTCTCTTCTTTATAGACTACCCAGTCTGTGGCATTCAGTTTTAGCAGCAGAAAACAGACTAAGTCAACGTCCACTTACCAGCAGATCAGGATTGGAATAGAAAACCAGGCCACTGCTCTATAACACTTCTAGGAGTTGTACGCTTGCTGGATCTCAAGAGAGAAAAAAGCCATTGATCCCTGTGTTTAAGACAAAAGCAAGAAGTTGTTAAGTGGGTGAGTATATTTTCTCACAGTTAGAACACGAGATATAATACCAAAAGCCTTGGCACCTGTGCGCTGGTTAATTCAATGTATCAACTTGATTGGCCTAAGGGGATACCCAGATGGCTGGTAAACATTATTTCCGAGTGTGTCTGTGAGAGTGTTTCTAGAAGAGATTAGCATTCAAATCAATATGCTGAGTAAGGAAGATCTGCCCTCATGGGTAGGTGATGGTAGACATCAAAGGTGAACTCTTTTTCTCCTTGCGCTGGGGTGTCCATCTTCTCCTGTCATTGGACATCAGAGCTCCTGGTTCCCACGTCTTCAGACTCAGGGACTTAATCCCACCTCCTTTCTTGGGCTGATAGATTGGGAATTACTCCATTGACTTTCTTGGTCCTCAGGCCTTTAAACTCGGGCTGAAGCCACCAGCTTGTCTCCAGAACCAGCTTTTCTGTTTTCTGGGTCTCCAACTTGCAGGTGGCATATGGCGTGTCATGTTTGTGAGACAATTCCCATTATAAATCAGTCAATCAATCAATCAATCTACCTATCTATTATCTCGTATTCATTGTACTTCTCTGGAGAATCCTAACTAATACAAAGTATCAGCCATTTTAGTACTTGGCAGGGCTTGATAAGGTCCCTTCCAATAAAGTTCCAGTGATGTCTTCATTTGATAAATCTTATGTAATTTCAGTCAGCCACTTTTACCATTATTCTGTCTATGGAGGTCACTTGGTATGCTGCATCTAGAATAGAATGCTTGGATGCACATCATTGTTGAGATGCTTTGAAATAATGAACATAAAATCAAGAGAGCCTGTAGACTCTTCCAGGGAGTGACCATGGGGGAGTAACTAGAAATAGCATAGGAATCCCACAGATTAATCATGTGGGAAGACTCTTAGTCTTCATTTTGCAGTAGATGTTATGCTCATAAGAGCTCTGGGAAGGGTATCAGGCCACTCTAGGGCAGTTTCTGCTTAAGTCCTGACCAGTTTATCTTTTTTAAGATTCCATTTGGAAGTTTTGCAACTTCTCTGATTCCAAATAATGTGAGCCATGAAAGTATTATTGATGAATCAATAGGGCTTTACAACTATTGACAATCAAGGGTAATCCAAGCTTTAAAATAACCTTTAGAAAACTTTTAGAATTCTTTGCCAACAGATATTGTATCAACAATTGCACTTGAACATGCTTTAAAAGTGCATATGCTTATTAAGATATATCGATGTGGCCTACATGTCACTCATACAAATGCAACTTAAATAATATGCACAAAATCATCATAGGGGGTTTCCCACATTGCAGTCTTAAAAAGCATTTAGTTCTTACAATACTGTTGAAAAGTTCTGAAAACTCTACACATTCCAAACATGCTAATCTTTCCTGGAAGTCCTTCTGTGTTTGTGGGTGTTGAACTATGGGTTACATACACAAAATACATTAATTCCATCCCAACAGCCCTGAAAGACTTAATTCATTTCAGCGTCAAATTTAAAATCTAAAGTCTCATCTAAATATCATCTAAATTAGATATGTGAATTGCTTTCCAGCTGTGAGCCTATGAAACACATGCTATGTGCTTCCAAAATACAATAATGGGATAGGCATAGAATGGAAATTTCCATTCCAACAGTGAGAAATAGGAAAAAAGAAAGGGATAACAGGTCTGAAGTGAATCCAAATTACAAGGCAAACTCCATGAGTACTTATGGCTTAATCCTCTTTTGCTCAATGTTCTGTCTTCCAGGTGCATGGGGTCTGGTGGCTTGCCTTCCAGATCACAAGGGCAGTGGTCCTGCCCCTACAGCTTTGGGTGACCTTGCCTCATGGCTGCTTCTGTCATAGGCCTCCCTTTGCAACCTAGTTGAAGGCAGCTACATCTTGCAGCCTCGTGCACTATTCCTAGAGGAAGAGACAGTGCCTCATGGATACCACCAAAGGTTGCTGCCTTCACCCTCCAGAGGGACAGCCACCAAGGCCCACACCACACTGGGGCTGCTAGAGCCACACCTTTGACAGCCAAGGAGCACAGTGCCAAAGTACAGGAAGTGAAGCTCATGATGTGAGGGGGCTGAGCAACAAACTCCAGGTCCCTTGGACACCAGAGGCTTCTCCTTTGAAGCCACTCTGCCCCCAGAGCTCTTACACACTCTGGACCTGTGATCGGAGGGAAGCCCTGATAGTCTCTCAGTTGGTTTCAGAGTCATTTTTCATTGTCTTAGAGAATAGCTCTTGGCTTCTGTTGGGAGGGCTAACCTGTATTAATCTCCTTATCAAATATTGACTTAGCCACACCCTTAGTATTCTTTCCCTAAGCAGACTTTCTCATACTTCACAATATGGATAGGCTGAGAATTTTCCAAATCATTAAGGTTTGCTTCCTTTCTGATCAACAATTCTGTCTTTAAATTATTTTTCTCTTCTCACATTTTCTGTAAGCACTCAGGAAACCAGGCCGTTCCTTCAACACTTTGCTTAAAAATTGCTTCAGCTAAATATCCAAGTTCATTGCTCACAAGTTCTACATTCCACAAAACACTAGAATACAAACAAAATTCAAACAAGGTTTTTGCAACTTTATAACAAGTACTGTCTATCCCCCAGTTTCCAACATGATGTTTCTCATTTCCAGCTGTGAGCCTATGAGCAACAGAAAGGCCTTTACCATCCACATTCCTACCAACATTCTGTGCAGAATTACTTAGGTATTCTCTAAGAAGATTGAGACTTTCTCTACAGCTCTTCTCTTTTCTTTCTGAGTCCTCACCAGAATCACCTTTAGCAGTCTGTACATGGCAGCATTAGCTTTTTCTAGTGCCTCAAAACTTCCAGCCTCTACCCATTACCCAGTTCCAAAGCTGCTTTCACAAAGCACCCACTTCTTGGGACCAAATTTCTATCTTAGACGTTCAGGCTACTGTAACAGAATGCCACAACTGGGTGGCTTTTAAACAACAGAAATTTATTTCTCACAGTTGTAGAGCCTGGGAATTCCATGATCAATGCACTGGCAGATTTGGTGTCTGGTGATAGCTCATTTCCTAACTCATAGATGGCTGTCCTTTTGCTGTATCCTTCTTAGTCAGAAAGGCAAGGGAGCTTTTCAGGGTCCCTTTTATAAAGACACTAATCTCATGCATGAGGGCTCTGCCCTCATGACTTAATCACCTCCCAAAGGCCTCAGCTCCCAATACTGTCACATTGGGGGTTAGGATTTCAACATATAGATTTTTAGGGGACACAAACATTTAGCCTATAGCAATTAGTGAGGAAATACTGGCTTTTAAAAAACAATTGTCTATATTCAAAAGCATGATGAGAATGGATACCTATAAAAACAGACTTTTGAGAAATGGGAGTACAGATTCAGGAAAGCAATGAGTTTTGCTACCTGAGCAGAAAATATAGAAGAAATTTTGCCACCTCATGTTGAGAACAGACTGTGTAGCCAAAAATGACTGTTTTTTTAAGCCATTAACTTTAATATGTCTTAATATGTATGCATGTACCTTTTACCAAACACATTTTGTGCACTACCTCACGTTCTCTCAGCCTCACCTACCATTCCAGTTACTGCTACAGTGAAAGTTCCACGCTGGTTTTGGTGCCCCTCTCCTGACGTGGGCACTGCCTTGTTTCCTGCCTTTGGGTTTCTCTGATGCAGAGGCATGAGATGCCTGGGAGAACCCACTTTGCATTTACACCTAAGTGTGAAGAAGTCTAAGTTCCATGGGGCCACCCTCAACCAATGGATGAAAGGAGTCAAAAGATTGCCCCCCAGGGGGATGGTTCTGAGATTCATTCCATAAAGCCACTTCTAAGGGCTCAGCAGTGCCCCGTGGGAGTGGACTACTCCACATCGCATCCTTGTGTTGGCTTTGCTCCTCCCCTGTTCCACTCCCCAGGTCCTGCCCTTCTGCTTCCTAGGATCACTTCCCAAATAACCTATCTGAATGCAAGCCCCTGCCTCAGGTTAAACACGCACTCACATATAATCATACCAAACAACATGCTTAGATGACAATATCTAGGTTTAAAAAAAAAAATCAATCTAGAGGTTTATTTTGCCAAGGTTAAGGACCTTGGCCCATGATTCAGCCCCAGGAGGTCCTGAGAACATGTGCCCAAGGTGGTTAGGTTGCAGCTTGATTTTACACATTTTAGCAGACAGAATTTACAGACAAAGACATAAATCAATACATGTAAGGTTTACATTGCCTTGGCCTAAGAAGGCAGGACATCTTGATGCAGGGGCTTCCAGCTCATAGGTGGATTCAAAGGTTTCCTGATTGGTAACTGGCTGAGTAAAACTCTGCCTAAATAGCTGAAGTCAGCTTAAGATAAGGGGATTGGGGGTTGTGGAAGCCAAGGTTCTTGTCATGTAGAAGAAGCTCCCACATTCAGAGAAAATGACATGAATGTCTCTTATTGGACCTTAAAATGTGTCAGAATCTCCAGAAAAGACCTAGTAAGAAAAGGGGATTCTCTACAGAATGTAAATTTTCCCCAGAAGAGACAGCTTTGCAGAGCTATTTCAAAATATGTCCAAAAATATATTTTGAAGGTAAAATACTTTGATTTCCATCAGGGACTGCTATCTGTCATGAGATGTTGTGCCAGAATCAGGTTGGAATCTGGTATCTTATTGCTACAAAGAATCTGTTAATGCTGATCAAAGAGGTTAATGCTGGTCAGTTGTGTCTAAACTCCAAAAGGACCAGGGTTTTACGATGCATGTGTGACCCCTCACTTCTGTCATGGCCTGAACTAGTTTTCAGGGTTTTTGGGGATCCTCTGGGCCAAGAAGGGGGTTCCAGTCAGTTGGTTAGAGGGGTTAGAATTTTATTTTGAGTTTACATTCCTCCTCCTTCTGGCCGGGATTTGTCAGAGGCAATATCAACGGTCACATTTTTATTTCGTCCCAAAGTGTTGTCAGGGTGACATAGTTGCCTGCCCCATGTTCATCCTGTCCCTTAGTGGAACACGTATGGTAAAGGGACTTAGACCCCAAGGACTTACAGCCAGTTTAAAGGTTCTAGGCCAGACAGGAATGGGGGTGGGCAGGCATTGACATCAACTCTTAAATTTTTTTTTTTTTTTTTTTTTTGAGACAGTCTTGCTCTGTCACCCAGGCTGGAGTGCAGTGGTGTGACCTTGGCTCACTTCAACCTCTGCCTCTAGGGTTCAAGTGATTTTCCTGGCTCAGCCTCCCAAGTAGCTGGGATTACAGGTGTGCACCACCATGCCTGGCTAATTGTTTGTATTTTTAGTAGAGACAGGGTTTCACCATGTTGGCCAGGCTGGTCTTGAACTCCTGACTACAGGCAATCTGCCTGCCTCAGCCTCCCAAAGTACTGGGATTACAGGTATGAGCCACTGTGCCCAGCCTAAAATTCTTTAAGTAATATAAAAGACAAAAACCAAAAGCCAAAGGCAAGGCTACAAAACTGAACAATCTTTAACTTCTATGCATTGAGCTACTATAATCTTGGTTTTAGTTACACATTTGCAGATGAAACCACCTTTTCACCTTGCCCTCTGCCTAGACACAGCCACACAGCCAATTTATCAAGACAGGGGAATTGCAATAGAGAAAGAGCAATTTGCACAGAGCCAGCTGTGCGAGACACCAGAGTTTTATTATCACTCAAATTAGTCTCCTGGAGCATTCAGGGATCAAAGATTTTAAAGGTAATTTGGTGGCTAGAAGCTCCGGAAATGGGGAGTGCTAGTGGGTCAGGCTGGATATGGAATCACAGAGTGGGTCAAAGTGAGGTTTTCTTGCTGACTTTTGTTCCTGATGGTATCAGAGAGCTGGTAAGCCACATATCACAAGCTGGTGAGTCTTGGTAGTGTCAGTTGATCCATCCAGTGCAGGGTCTGCAAGACATCTAAGCACTGATCTTAGGTTTTACAATCGCAATGTGATCCCTAGGAGCAATTTGGGAGGCTTGAACTCTTGCATCCAGAGGCTACATGACCACTAAACCATAATTTCTAATCTTGTAGCTAATTTGTTAGTCCTACAATGGCAGACTGGTCCCTAGGCAGGAGAGAGGTCTTTTCGGGAAAGGGCTATTATCAATTTTGTTTCAGAGTCAAACCATAAACTAAATTCCTTCCCAAGGTTAGTTCAAACTTTGCCCAGGAATGAATAACAACAGTTTAAAGTTTAGAAGCAAGATAGAGTCAGTTAGGTCTGATCTCTTTCACTGTCATAACTTCCTCATCTATCATTTTTGCAATGGTGGTTTCATAGCAATTAGCTATACAAAACATAAATATTTCCTTAAAACCATTTAAGCTAAGGAATTTAGAAACTTTCATTGTGCCACAAGGCTTTTCATAGTCTTTTTGTAACTTGTCCTAATTTGGGTCATGAAAAAATTTTTTTAATATATCTATCTGCATAAATCTCATAACTGGGAGCACTATAGCCAGGAGGCTTCATCACTGGGTATCTGGATATTCTCTCAGTAATTTATTTTAATACTATGGGAAGCAGAAAATTTTTTTAGTTGAGATGGATGGAAAAGGGCCATGTAATGACCCAGGAGGCAAAGTTCCTTATTTTGCCAGTTAATTAGGCATCTGTGTTCTCAACTGTGATTTGTAAGGTTATCCCAGTAGCATTTATTAAATAGATAGTCCTTTCCCCATTGCTTGTTTTTGTCAACTTTCTCAAAGATCAGATGGCCGTAGTTGTGCAGCTTTATTTCTGGGTTCTTTATTCGGTTTCATTGGTCTATGTGTCTGTTTTTGTACCAGTACCATGGTGTTTTGGTTACTGTAGCATTATGGTATAGTCTGAAATTGGGCAATGTGATGCTTCTGGCTTTGTTCTTTTTGCTTAGAATTGCATTAGCTATTCAGGCTCTTTTTCTGTTTGATATGAATTTGGAATAGTTTTTTCTAGTTTTGTGAAAAGTGACATTGGTATCTTGATAGGGACAACATTGAATCTGTAGGTTGCTTAGGGCAATATGGCCATTTTAGCAATATTGATTCTTCCAATCCATGAGCATGAAATGTTTTTCCATTTGTTTGTGTCATCTACAATTTCTTTCAGCAGTGTTTTGTAGTTCTTCTTGTATAGGTCTTTCACCTCCTTGGTTAGATGTATTCCTAAGTATTTTATTCTTTTGGTGACTATTGTAAATGGGATTGTATTCTTGATTTGACTCTCAGCTTGAAAGGTTTTGGTTTATAGGAATGCTACTAATTTTTCTAAATTGATTTTGTATCCTGAAACTTTACTGAAGTTGTTTATCAGTTTCAGGAGTTTTTTGGTAAAGTCTTTAGAGTTGTCTAAGTACAAAATCATATCATCTGCAAACAGAAATAGTTTGACTTCTTTGTCTATTGGGATGCCTTTTCTTTCTTTCTCTTGCCTGACTTCTCTGGCTAGGACTTCCAGTACTATGTTGAAAGGAGTGGTGAAAGTAAGCATGTTTGTCTTGTTCCAGTTCTTAAGGGGAATGCTCCCAGTTCTGTCCATTCAGCATGATATGTAGGTTGTGGGTCTGTCATAGATGGCTTATATTATTTTGAGGTATGTTCCTCTGAAGCCTAGTTTCTTGAGAGTTTTTATCATGAAGGGATGTTAAATTTTATCAAAAGCTTTTCCGTGTCTATTGAGATGATTATATGGCTTCTGCTTTTAATTTTGTCTGGTGAATCACACTTACTGGTTTATGTATGTCAAACCAAACTTTCATCCCAGGAATGAAGCCTACTTGATCATAATGAATTAGCTGGTTTCAGTTTGCTAGTAGTTTGTTGAAAATTTTTGTATCCATGTTCATAAGGGATATTGGCCTGCAGTATTCTTTCTTCATTGTATCTTTGCCAGGTTTTGGAATTAGGGTGATACTGGCTTCACGGGGCAGGAGGAGGAGCTAGAAAGGAGTACCTCTTCCTCAACTTTTTGGAATGATTTCCATAGGATTAGTACCAGTTCTTTTTTTTATGTCTGGTACAATTCAGCTGTGACTCCATCTGGTCCAGGGTTTTTTGGGGTTAACAGATTTTTTAAATTACTGATTCAATTCTGGAACTCCGTTTTAGTGTGTTCAGAACTTCAATTTCTTCATGATTCAATATTGGGAGATTTTGTGTTTCTAGGGATTTATCAAATTCCTCTAGATTTTCTAGTTTGTGTGCTTACTGGTATTTATAATAGTTTTTGAGAATGTTTTGTATTTCTGTGGGATTGGCTGTAATGTCACCTTTGTCATTTCTGATTGTGCTTATTTGGATCTTCTCTCTTTTTTCCTTCTTACTCTAGCTAGCAGTCTATTGATCTTGTTTATCCTTTCAAAGAATCAACTTTTGGTTGCATTGATTCTTTGCATGGATTTTGGGTCTCCATTTCATTCAGTTCTACTCTGATTTTAGTAATTTCTCTTCTTCTGCTAGCTTTGGGGTTAGTTTGTTTCTCTAGTTCCTCCAGGTGTGATGTTAGACTGTTAATTTGAGATCTTTCTAACTTTTTGAGGTAGGCATTTAGCATAATAAACTTTCCTCTTAACACTACTTTTGCTGAATCCCAGAGATTTTGGTATGTTGTGTCTCTGTTTTCATTTATATCAAAGGTTTTTTATTTCTGCCTTAATTTTATTGTTTATCCAAAAGTCTTTCAGAAGCAAGTATTGATCTCTGTTTCTGTTCCACTCTGGTCTGAGACTATGGTTGGTAGTATTTCATTTTTTTAAAATTTGGATTTGCATTATGACCAAGCATGTGGTTGATCTTGGAGTATGTTCTACGTACAGATGAGAAGAATGTATATTCTGTGTTGATGCGTAAATGAACACATGATCAGAATCATTTGCAGATTTAAAAATATATTGTTAACATTAAATATTGATAAGAATTCATAAGAGAAATACGGTAACAAAGTATTATTCACTTTAACTGGATTAACTATAAATGCACACAATTTTGCAATGAGTTCCAGTAATACAAGAACCAATTTATAAAATACTTGTTCTTTCAAATAATTTAACTAGTTGAATATTTACATTTATATTTGCATATTCTTAGATATTAGTGCAAGTAATGATACTCAGGAAATTTACAAATTTCACTTCATTTGGCTTTTGCAGGGATTAAAAAACTAAATTCAAAGTCTTTTAGGATCTGAAATCCAACATTTGCATTTTTATTTCTCACCGTGGTAACATCAGGGAGAGGAACTTTTAACTAAAATTCACAATACAACTTATTTTATTAAAGGGTTTTTCTTGACAGAATATTAAGGGCACAGGCATTGGCATTTAAATTCCTTATATTTATTTACTTTTCTACTCTATATCTGTATATTATTTGAGAGCTTTGCCTGTAAAATCGCTTACTGATAAAGGCACATTGCTGCAAGCAAGCTACCTGGAGGACAAATAAGGAGAACTCCTTGTGATAAAGGGTGTACACAGGCAAGATTAGAAAGCTTTTACTTCCTTGTTTTCCCTTTCCTTCCAAACCCCAAATCACAGCAAACTCCAAAACAGCAGCTAATTTCAAAGCTAATTTGCTCGCCTCAGCTGCACTCTTGCCATGAGAGCTTCTGTTATGCATTTTTAAAACAAATTCATCAACTGGGAAGGATCACGCAAAATACACATTCATACCCGGAACATATTTATCCTCCTGAATACAAGGATTCTCAGGGACCCACGCAGACTTAAGATTCTGGCAAGATTCTTGGTCAAAGAAAACCAATATCCAGAAGACAGTAATGCCTGAGAGTGAGGGGGAGCATTACCTGGGCAGAATCAGTCGTCAGTGACCATGGGTCCACACCAGGGAGCTGGTCTGTGCAAGTCCTTCAGTCCAGGAAGGCACACCCTTGGACTGTGCTGCAGGGAAAGCTAAGTGAGTTAAAATACCAGATACTGACTCAGCTGAAACCAACATTTCTTTCTCTTAGGGTTAAAACAACTAAATTGTGCCTGGTAATTCCCTCGAAAATGATCTAATGAGAACCATTTGGGGCATACACTGATTGAACTGATTGTGTGCAGGAGAGGGTAGAAGGGTTCCCATCCACAGAGCAGAGTTGTGTGCAGGTTAGAAAATGCTCTGGTGTTCTTTTGAATCAGCATAGTAAAGGCTCTAGGATGAATCAGCAACTGGAGTTTGCTCCATCAGTGTTTAGTAGTCTGTGATAGGCAAGTGCAGCCCCAGGGGCCAGGGTACACATTTAACCCTGCCCTTTCGGAAACCCAGAGCACCCCAAGTCTTTCCAAGTGGATCTGGAACTATTTTCACCAAGCCAGTATATTGTTTTCCTTGACTTGTGAAAGCGGTGGTTCACCAAGATAAAATAAAGAGAAAACACCCTTGAAGAAACTAAAATTAAGAAGTTGGCTAGGCATGGTGGCTCACACTTGTAATCCCACCACTTTGGAAGGCCACGCTTGAGGCCAGGAGTTCAAGATAAGCCTGGGCAACATAGTGAGACCCCTGTTTCTACTAAAAACTAGCCGAGTGTGATGGTGTGCACCTATAGTCCTACCTAATCAGGAGGCTGAGGCGGGAGGATTGCTTAAGCCCAGGAGTTTGAGGCTGCAGTGTAGTAATGATTGTGCCACTGAACTCCAGCCTGAGTAACACAGTGAGATCCTGTCTCTAAAAAAAGAAAGGAAGGAAGAAGGGAGGGAAGGAGGGGACAGGAGGGAAGCAGGAAGGGAAGGAGGGAGGAATGCTGGAAAAAAGAAAGGAAGGAAGAAGAAAAAGAAAGAGAATGTCCATTATATGTGCACACATGGTCATTTACCCAACAGTAAACAGGTTACTTTAGAAAAACAGAACTCTAGAAAAAAAATGAGGGTACATAGGGGTTTCCAACTGGAGAATTCAAAAGAAGACCATGCTGGATTTCTGTCTTCAGTCATTTATAGGCTGGATGGTGCTGTCTTGTCCCTGAGCCACAGAAGGCAGTCGCGCAATCCACAGACTGCAAGGACGCACTGGGCCAAGGCTGCATGCAGGTCACCTGACGGAGTGGCTTAAGGCCCCCTTGTGTTTATTTGATAGAGTGATAAGACTCTCTAATTATTAATTAGAAGTCTTAGGATTGAAGGATTTCTTAAAGTCTTTATGACTACTAATTTTTGGCATGATGTGAATTTGCATATTATTGGGCCTGATCTGCATATTTATTTTGTAACTCAGCAGGAAGCTTGAAGCCTGTTAACCAAACTTAGATTTTACTGTTTTCCTATCCAAAAACATTTTGAAGAAAGGGCTTAGATTTGAAAACAGGAATAGTATTTAAATTTGTATTAATAACCTAGTAGTGTATTTTCCAAAGTTATTTACACATATTGCATTTTGTTCTTATAAGAATATAAAACTTACCTCTTACATAGAGTTTTTAATACTCAATTGAGTATTTTTTTCACTCAGAAGTCATTTTTCTAAGTAGAATGTTAAAAGATTCATGCTTTTGAAGACTAATTTCTTTAGTCTATTTAAATGTATTAACATAAATTACAGAGTGCAATTTATAGCTTAAGTCTCTTTGCAAACATGGTGTTCTGTGGCTTGGAAGGTTTTCTTTTATTTTTCTGTCAGCCTGGAGGTCTTTTCATAAAGGGCTGGCACATTTAAATTATTGGAGGTGAGGCTTAATTTCTTAACTTTTCCCCTTGGGAGACGTTGAATCCCTTTATCTTAGATTTACATAAGCTCTCAGTGGTCTATTGAAGCCATTATGAATAGGAAATCCACTAGAGAGACATTTTAGCTATATTTTCTACAAACCTACAGAGGAGGCCTAATTATTTAATAATTCAAAGTATCTTTGATATCAAACTCATGTCTTTGTCATCCATGTGTGTCCAGGCCAATCCTCCAGAAACAAGCAAGCTGAAAAATCTGTTGGGGTTCAGAATTCCCTTGGACTCCCCACTCTCAGTCCCTCAATTCCTATCAATGCAAACCCAACACAGCTGGGCTTTTGCACAGGGGAGCAAATCTCTCACACAACAGAATACATTATTAAATTATTGGACAATCTGAAGATTCAGCAGTAGCATTTTTCCCCCAAGGAAAAGAAAGAAGAAACTATTCAGAAAAACACAAAGCCACCTGAGCATCCCTGAATGTCATACACATATTTATCTTCTAAGGGGCATGAATTCCTTGTTTCTGGCGCAAAACAACCTTCTCTGGTTCAGAGTTTTGCCTCTTGGATACTCTAGGGTAACTTCACTTGCTGGAACTTAATTCCAACAGAAAGAAAACACTCTAGCTTCAAATTGGATAAAATTCTATTTTTAAATTTTATTTATTTATCTGTCACCCAGGCTAGAGTGCTGTGGCTCATTCATAGCTCACTGTAACCTCCAACTCTTGGGCTCAAGCAATCCTCCTGCTTCAGGCTCCAAGTAGTTGGAATTACAGGTATGTGCCACCACACCTGGCTAATTATTTTTTTCTTTCTTCTTCTTTGCCTTTTTTTAAAATTTTAAAATTTCAGTTTTTTTAATTTTTAGTAGAGACAAGGTCTCCCTATGTTGCCAAAGCTGGTCTCAAACTCTTGGCCTCAAAAGATCCTCCCGCCTTGGGCTCCCAAAGTGCTGAGATTGAGGCATGAGCCACCATGCCTGGCCCAGATAAAATTCCAACCCAGAATTGGAATATAACAAACCCAACCTGGAAGTATTCATTCTAAGAGTCAGAGGCACAAGAGCTCTTCCAATCTGCTTGGTTGGATGGAACTCTACCTGTATTCTGTAGATTCACACCCAAGAATACCTGGGAAAATCTACAAGACAATTTCTATTCACAATAGAAAACAGAAACTGCAATTTTTGCTTCCTGACACTGTGTAGATGTTCTTGGCCCACCGTTCCCTAGTGCTCCTGTTTCATGAGCTGATTAGAAACAAATCGAGACAGGTATGTGCTCAGTCAAGACCCAAATGCATTATCACTGCCTGAGTTCCCTTCCAAAAATAAAGCCTGACACAAGGAGTTGCTTGAAGAGGATTTATTTGGGAGGTAACTTCAGGGTGCAAGAGTGAGGAACTAGTAGGGTGACCAGCTGTTCCTGCTTTCTGGGGACTGCAGGGTTTCCTAATATGTGAGATTTTCAGTGCTAGAATTAGAGAAGTCACAAGCAAACTGGGATGAGTTGGTCTCTACAGGAGCTGGGAAGCTAGACCCAGAGAAGGAAGGAAAGCCAGTTCAAGTCGGGGCTAATGAGTTGGTTTGATCCCATCAGACTGTGTAGAGGCACCCCAAAATTGTCCACCAGAAGGATGGAAGTGGGGAGCATTTATCTCCTGGTTCCCATCTCCTCTTAGCAAATGTCCCTTGCTAATTCTTCCCACACTCAGGGCTTATATGCATGAGTGCCTGTGAGTTTCCACAGGCATTTCCCACTGAGGTTTCAGAGAAATCCTGGGCAGAAGTGAGAGAAACACACTGCAGCTGAGGCATGCTGCTGTTGGGTTATGCCTACACAGATCTGGTGGCTGCAGCGACGGCTGGGTTCAAAACTGGACTGACAGGATGTGAGTGTTGCACAAGAAGCCTCCAACACATGAGGGTGAGTTTTGCTTCCCTCTGGTTGCCTCACACTTGAGTTCAGCATGGGATCACCAAGCTCTGCTCTTAGCTTCCCATTCATTTATTAATTTAAATGAAACAAAATTCTCAGACTCTTTGTTTAAACAAGAAATCCAGCAGGGTAGTTTTATTTCACCTTGTGTATATAAAAGATGCATGCCAATGGTCCCTTCCTGGCTAAAAAGATAAAATTCATGGATATTTGTACTTCCCCCCAGCCACCCTCAACACACAAAAATGAGGATGTCAATTTAAATGTCATCAGCAGTACAAATTGTTATTAATTGAGACAACCAATCAAGATCACAGACTTTTTAGAAGTTAGGACTTAGTGTCACTAGACATAGCAACAACCTCTGAAGCCCAGGTGTGTTGCAAAAATCCTTTTTGGAAATCATATTTGTAAGGATGATTTATATGTATTTTTTATTTCCATAGTTCTTTTAAACTTTTTCTTATGGAAAATTTTAGAAATAAACAAAAGTTGAGAGACTAGTATAATGAATACTTCTCTACAATGAACAACTGTCAACTTTCAGCCATTCATTTTCCATCTCCCTCAGCAAAAAAAGACACGCAGCCCCAAGCAATAGAAAACCTAATTATATAATCTGAAACAAATAAAAGCATGATTAGTCTCAGATAATATCCCATCTAGAGATCTGCAGTTCTGGGCTGGTGTAAAATTGAATAATGCCTTCAAAAATTCAGCTCCTTCTATTATTTTGTTTCTCCGTCTTTAGAATGTGGCTGCAATATAGTTGCTAAACCTCCAGAAATCACATTCTTGTTCCAGGAAGAAAGAATGCAGAAGGATGAAAAGGACCAAATGATGTGCCAACTGCTTCAGGTTTCCTTTGAAAATCTTTCCCTGAAGCTCCACCCAGCAACTCTGACTTAACATCTCTTTGGCTAGGACAGGATCACATGGTCTCTCCTTGGTCCAATGGAGTGTGAGAGGTAATTTTAGCTGGGGACATAGCTGCCCTGAATTAAATCAGGGTCCTGTTTGTCAGGAAGAATGGGCCTCTGCTCTTTATCCCTGCTTTCCTCTCTGCTTTGAATGCCTTCCCCTCCCTTGACCACTCAGGTTATTCCTTTATTTAACAAATGTTTTTTAACATTCACTTCCTGCCAGTCCCAAGGCCAGGTCTTGGGGCTCTAAATGTTAATAAGAAGTAGTTTTTGCTCTTAAGAGATCCTATTGAAACCAATCCAATAGTTTCAGTTTTTTGTTTTTGTTTTGTTTTGTTTTTTTAATAAACATAAAAATTGACCCCCCTGGTCTTAAAACTTGAAATATATTTGTTTTATCTGAGTTTCTTCCTCAGGAAAAGAACTTCAGGCCTCTCAAAAAAAAAAAAAGTATCAAAGAACAGATCAAGCATCCAGAAATAAGATGCTGGACCCCTCAGATTGCTTCCCTGCCCCTTTCTATTTCCTGTTTTCTTATGCATTGTTATATTCTTCCCTGATACATAAACCCCTAGTTTTAGCCAGTCAGGGAGATGGATTTGAGACTGAGCTCCCATCTCCT